TTGTATGCTACCATGATATTAGCTAGGGTTGTTACTGTAACAATTTCTACTGTCTCTCTTTTCAAGCACATTTCTCTTTCTTAAGCATTGACAAGTTTTCTAAACCTTGCTGATCTCCTTACCCATTCTTTAAGAACAGTCTCTGGTCCTGAGCTTCTCCCATATGTGATGCTATCAACCAGTTCATGAATAATATTTGATCCCTCTTATCTCGTAATCAGGGTTGATTGAGCCTCAGATATTTTATGGTCAAAGTAAGGCAAGAGAAAAATTATGTTTGTATTTTCCCCCTTATACGTTCATCATGTGAGAAATATAGGTGTTGATCAATTGACATAACTTTACTTGACAGGACAGATTATACTGAAATTGTGAAAACTGCTAGCTGGGAGTATAGCACGCGGCCCATTTATGGATGGGGCGATGTTAACTCAAAGCAGAAGTCCACGGCAGGATGGCCTGCTGCTTTTCCTGTATTTGAGCCACATTGGCAAGTTTGCATGGCAGCTGGACTTTCAACAGGTAATATCTGAATTCTTTTCCGAGCTTTTCAGTTTTGGTTTCGCTTTTCGAGCACTTTTCTCTTCTCATATTTCATTCATGGAGTCCTCTGTTGTATGTGTTGGAAGCTTTTCATTAATTTAACTCAATAGCTCTTTCAGTTTGATCTCATTGCCCAGTTTGGAATTATATGATTCTATACACCACTTTACACCCTCCTTAAGTCTTCCAATTTTCAATTTTACCATGTTAACAGGTTTAATCTCATAACTTGGATCTTTATGATCTTTTGATCTGGATTGTGATCTTGACAACCATGTGATAAACATGCTATTATGTAATTTGATTGGTCATTTGATCATTTCTAGTGATAGATAAGCCTAAGAGGTGTTTCTTTGTTATAGTGATATCCTTTTAGTTTGCAATGAAAGAGATGATTCTTAACTATGCATGTTGAACAACGTTACTACCTGGCTGAAAATTACATTTTCTTTTGAAAAACATCTTAGACCCTAAGAGAGTCGCAGAACTTTAGGATTGAAATATTATATTACGATATTTAATAATCTTATTTAAAAACTTTATTTTAAAATTGTTATCATATATAAAATGACCTCAAAGTTTGGCCTGCATAGAATAAAGAAAATAGAAAAGATTGGTATTTTGTACTATGCCTTAGAAACCAGATTTACATTTCATGTTCTTCAGTATTTGAGCTAAACTGCAGATATTCATCAGCTGAAAAGTTGACTGCAGTGTTTTACGTGTTTCATAAATCATAAAAAAGGAACATTAGGGAGTACCTAATCATGAATTATTTCTGTCAGGCTGGATAGAGTGGGATGGTCAGCGGTTTGAGTTTCAAAATGCCCCTTCTTACTCCGAAAAGAACTGGGGTGGTTCCTTCCCAAGAAAGTGGTTTTGGGTACCTCCTTCCTCCTTGGCATCTCACTTTTGCAGAATATTTTCAATTATTTGCAGCTCCTTATTTGTATCCAACTTTGTCTTAGGATTGTCGACCATTATATATATCTCGTCTGCTGTCCTGCCTTTGGGAATTGGGATCACTAGTTTAGGGATCTGATATTTGCCGTTATAGTCTCCATGAGATTTCTGTGAGGCAAACTTCTGAAGAAAGGAAGAACAAATGAACTATTAGTTATTCAATTAGCCAATGTGGAGACTTACCTATATTCACCAGAAACTCCAGAAGGGAAAAAAAAAAGGGTCAGTGGGCTGGATAGCCAAATATGCAGGTGAAAGGAAGAAATGAGAACAATCAGTAGTTTGTCAAACTGGTCATATATGACACGTTCAATGGCAGAAATACAACAAGCCACTATTTTCCTTTCTCAATTTGTACCGGATCTTTTCAATTACAGGTCCAGTGCAGTGTATTTGAAGGTGCAATTGGAGATGTTGCTTTGACTGCTGGTGGTGGACTAAGGCTACTTCCGGGATTGAATGAGACTTTTGAAAGTGTTGCTCTGGTACTTATCTCTAGCTAATTATCTAGAATCTACTTTTCTCCCCTTCTTTCTTCGTTGGTTACCAATTTTGTTGAACTTGATTTGAGCAATGCATTGAAACGACAAAAGAGATAGTGTTTTTGTACTGTATCTTGAAGCTTCTACTTTACTAGTTTTGCTTTACTGTATTATTTTACTAGCTTTATTAATCCTTATGCTTATTGCAGATAGGAATTCACTATAGAGGTATCTTCTATGAATTTGTTCCATGGAATGCTAGTGTTAGTTGGGAAATTACTCCCTGGGGTAAATGGCATATATCTGCGGAGAATGAGACACATATGGTAAGTTTGCATTTCGAGAATATAACTCCTTCGTCAATGTCTTGCATTAATGCTGAAGAAAGCTTAGCATATTGGATAGCCTTTACCAGATGAAAATTAATGCCCTAATCATGTCCAAAACCCTATATTTCGTTGATTAGCTGGAAGCTAATTTAGTCGCATTTGTGATTGATTCATTAGCTTTCTAATTTGGATATTTAACTTGAACAGGTATTACTAGAAGCAACAGCAGAAGATCCTGGTACCACGTTGCGGGCTCCTACGGAAGAGATGGGTCTCGCTCCTGCATGTAGAGACACTTGTTTCGGTGAGCTAAGACTGCAGTTGTGGGAACGGAAGAGTAATGGGAGTAAAGGAAAGGTAAATATTTACTTTTGGGGCATACTTATCATTTTTGGATATTAAAGTGGAGAGATACATGTATTCATAGGGTGATGCAAGAATGTAACACTTGGAATTTGGAGGACTTTTTAGGTGTCGTTTGGTTATAGGAATAAGAAAACTTGATCTCCATATATGACTCTGTATTATACAAAGATGCCTTATATTACCAATACTGAAATTTACAGTACTCCCTGTTTTATACTGCGTAGTGCATTGATTGCTTCATTTAGTTAATTGATGCTATTGATGTTTGTAGGTTATTTTGGATGTTACAAGCAATATGGCAGGTCTTGAAGTTGGGGGAGGACCATGGTTCAACACATGGAAGGGAAACGCAGAGATGCCGGAAATTGTTACTCGAGCTATCAATGTTCCTGTGGATTTGGATGGCATATTCAGCTGTGTTCCTTCACTTCTCAAACCTCCTGGCCTTTGAGCAAAATGCAAAAACTAGTTATAGAATGAGAATCATTATACTTGATTACATTTTGTAAATAGCGTCATCTTGCCTATTGACTTGTCTCAGGTTGCACCTAACAGTATTTCTATGGAAAATCTTTTTGGTTGGAGTAGAAAATTGTTTTGTTAATTCCCGTGAAGGAAAACCTAGTAAGGGTCAACGCAAGGATCTTATTTCAAAGTAATCTCTAGAGTTAAATAGGATTTTATATTGAGCTTCAAACATATGCTATTCCCTCAAAGTCAAAGAAACGTGGAATTTTATTTTATTTCTTGAAGCACTTGGGACATAAAAGTGATTACATATTTCAACATACTAGTGTAATTCCACATGTGACATCTCATTTTGGTTCAATTTTTAAGATTAAAATTTGATTTTTGATGGAAGACAAATCTGGTAAGTTGAGTGCTGCATTACATAAACAAAATTTATCAAATTTATTTGATGAACAAATTGTCAATCCACTTAACTAAATGGTAAGGACCTAAACTCTAAAAGTAGCTGAATTCTACCATGAAAAAGAGAAGCAAAAGCATCAAGACTTTTAATCATTCTCTTGTGCCTTTTGGGTTCAAAGAACTGTGGAACAATCCTGTTTTTTTCTTTTTTTCATCAGCTCGGACAAGCATAGCCTTCCTCCAATGGTTCTACCGGTACAGCATATGGTGAAGTCCAGTCAGCATTGAAGATTTCTTGAAGTTGTGAAACAATGGCAGGTTGATATGTCCCAAAGCTAACGCCTGCTGTGGTGTAAAAGTAGTCCCACACCAGGTTGCTGGTGCTTACGTGTGCACGCACATCACTAACTGCATATTTACCATGATTAACCCGTGTATAGCCAGGATACATATTCCCAGTGGCAGCACCATTAAGTACTGCAGGTCCAGTTGAATTGTATCCTGGAACAATGTAATATTTGATCTCAACTTTACCAGAACAGTGGTTGTACTTTGAAGAAGAGCATAGGGTGTTGGAGTAAAGAAGGGACTTCAGATACTGGTCAGTATTGTTTATAAAATGAGCCCACTTTGCGACCAGTATTTGAACCTTTGCACCCTTGGAGAAGACAACCTGCATTAGGAAATTATAGAAAAAAATTAAAGTAAACCTAATTTCACATGCGGGATGAGGGTAAAGCTTGAATCTATGAAAAGATTTCAAGGTTGCTCTAATCAAGGACAAACACATGCTATCCTGAGATATAGTGATTATTCTAGATCAGGGAGTTGGTATTGTGTATATCCGATGTCATCTTTTATATATAGTAGTCTCACATGTAAATTTATAGATCCGTTAGAACAATTATAATTCTACGAAAACATGAATGCAATGGGTAATCAATGCAGCAATTACAAATAAATATTTTAAAGTGCGACAAGAAACACCAAAAGAGGGTTTAATTTCAATGTTTAAAATTAATTCCTTTTAAGCAACCTACTGTAAATTTTGAACTTTGGTCAATAGGTAGAAAACTTCCAATAAAGTCATAAATTTATCTGCGGCAGGGTTTGAACCTATGATGTATGCCTAACGGATATATCATGTGTTTGCTCTTACCACTTGACCAAAGCTTTGGCGGCTTCAACAAGGGTATATTATTCTTTTAAAAGATAGAAAAGAATGGTCTATGTATTAACCTTTACCATTGTTGTAGACTGAAATGGGGCTACAAGATGCTTTTTCCAATTGAAACCATATAAGGGACATTAGTATATAGAGCAAGAAAGCTACCTAATCTCCAGCTCATACCCAGTTTCTCCCATACCCTTCCACTATGTTGCCACGAAGGAACAAAAACTACCTAGTTGAGTAAGCTGAGTTTTAACGATTCTCTATGTATACTTTTCCGCAGCTCCTTTCTGAACTTTTCTTTTTTAAGAGACTTCATGTTGAAGTAATTTGTCTTTTGCACATTACTGCTTATTCGTAGAACACTCCTTGAGCATAAACAAGAACTTAAGTATTCTCAGAAGTCAAAAGCATATTAAAAAGACCATATTATGCTTACCACTTACCACCACCTCTTTTAACAATTTAAAAAAAGAAAGAAGAGAAGATCATACTATGACAAGCAACATTCACTAAGAAACATGAGAAAATTGCTATCAGCTTCCACAAAATGATTTTTTACATGGTTTTATCATAATACTTGATTGCAAATCTGGCAATATATTTACCACCATACTTTAACCTAATATTGCTCCATAAGTATTTTGTAAGCCTAAATAGGAAAGGAGAAATTATAAACTAAATAGCAGATTTATGCAGTAAAAAAAGGGAAAAGAACTAATTAATAAGCAAAAACTATCATGGAGAAATTCTATAAAGAATTTTCACAATGATGAAACAGCTACCGTGATTGCCTCCTAACAGCATCCAAGCAATAATTCATGACAAAGCTGGAAACAGCGAAATGAGAAGAACTGGATTAGCCAAATAAGTTGGTGTGTACCCCCTTTCCTAGTAGTAGGATCCATCTTTTCGTAAGAATTTAGTGGAGGCATTTACTTCTTACTTTTTTGACAGAATTCTTTTTGTATTCAGCTGACGAATGTATAATTTCTCCAGTGTTCTTCGACAAACCCAAGCACAACTACCAATTCGAGTTATCCTGGCTCCTCAAGTTTGGGTTGGTTGATAGACGGAGTGATCATCAAGGGCCTAGGTTAAATACCTATATCTGTACTTGGAACAATTTTTCTTTCTTCTACCAAAGAATATATCATTTTGAGAAATTTCATGTAGGCAAAAACAGGATAGTTTTGGCATCAGATTCAGTTTAAACTAAATGACCAGAGCCTCATCATATTAGGAAACATAGAGTTCATCAGAAAGAGGATGCTCTATTTTATTTAATTCAACCGGCACACAATAGAGGAGTAACTTCTCAGTAGATATTGCTTTTAGGTTTCAATCGAAAAAGTGCATCATTCATTTGAGCTGTATAGGCAGTATTACTAATCAGGTAACAGGAAATACCAAACTCTAAAGTTTCACTTATTCCATTTTAAAACTACAGAGGGACCATGTTGTCAAATACACTAAGCAAACAATATGAGAAGGTCAATCAGAAGTCAAAACAGATACTCTCTCTGTTCCAGTTTACGTGGCATAGCTTGGATGGTCATAAAGTTTAAGAAATAAAATGAAGAATTTTGAAACTTGAGGTCTAAATCATTCATAACATTTGTGTGGCTATATAATTTTTGGAACTTGTGGCCTTAAACATGTCATACCATTGTGTGGTTATAAAAGATTCTCATTAAGGGTAAAATGAGAAGTTGTAAAGTTAATTATACCTAAATTTAATAGTGTCGTTATTTTTGGAACAAACTTCAAAGGGAAGTGAGTCACATAAAAGAAGGTATATATGTATATAGACTGGATGTAGAAGATTAACATGCAAAAGATAGAAGCACAAGTTACCTCTGAAATAGCTGAAGAAAGTGTCGGCCAATAAACTGTTTCTTTTATGTATCCTGACTGACCAAGCCAATCCATGGAGTTAATTCTGACTGTTCCTCCTTTTCCTACTGATTTAATGGTGTCCACCCACGCCTGTTCATCTGTTTGGTACTTGCCAAACAAGAGCTGCAATATGGGACTGCATAAGTATAATATTTACAAAGGACATGATTGTAATAATTAATTCTTTTTAGCAGTTAAGGCATATTGGCAGTTGACTTGAGGATATCTAGATTAACTGGAGATTATAGATTTTATATAACAGTATCCATGAAAGCGTAGAAAATAAAAACTATTTATATAAGATCTAGATGAAAAAGGGTAGTATTTAACTTCTGCTTCAGTGTAATGAAATTAGTGTATCCACATTTGCAGGCATTCCAAGAAAATCTAATTTGCTCAAGAATTTGGATCAGTCATTTCTGGACAGTTCGCTGAATAAAGGGTTACGTAAACATGATGAAATGTATATACTTACTGACTTCCCACTGTGTACAAAGGAAAAGAAAAAAATATGAAAAGGAAAAATGAAAAATAAAACCCCAAGAGATAAATGTCATATAAGAACCGATGAAAATGAAGATAATAACTAGTAAAAGGTTGTAGTGACCACATACCTCTGGAGGAGCAAATGAAAGATAGTTGGGTTGAGGATTGGAAGATGAATCATTGACTCCAGGTGTCTCCATGGAAAGGTGAGACATGTACGGGTCTGACAATACAGGGTAGCCAGAGACATGAGCAATTTCCACGTACTTGGGAAGTGGTGATCTGTCGAGACACAACATAATGCCATATTAATAACAGTTAAGGTCTGGGGCAGGAAGTTTCAAATCAATTCATTTTCTTAGTAAGGAAATTTAATCACATTAAAGTCAATCCCGAGCTTATTTCGCAAACTTGAACACCTGATTTTTCGAGTTCAATCCTATCTCTCTTCCGAATACATCAGCAAGGAGGGGTTTCAGCAGAGAGGTACGGGAATAACTACAGCAAGGTATTTAGCAGCTCCCCAAATAAATTTTTGCAGACTCCAAATTTGGTTTGGTTATCTGTACTTTCATTGCGTAAAGGCATAGATTTTTCAACCTGTAGAAGTAGGAATACCCCAAAGCATAGACTTTTGCAGACCAATATGACTTCATTTTTTTATTCTCCTTTGTTGCTTCTTTATGCAATTATTATGTGCAAGAAAATATAAAAGAGTTTCCCACTCTTATAAAGCTGCTGCAAGATGTGGAGAAAAGGGGGAAAAGCCAGTTACTCGAAAGAGTGTCTGCTTTTTTATTTTTCACATACCTGCACCTTTCTTTAGGATTTATAAAATGGGACCAACATGGAACCTTGCGATTAATCTGCCATTGCTGATCCCAAACTGATCTTGTATAAGCTGAAACATTAAGGTGGGAAAGTTTCCAAAGGTTGTTATAGTAGATTTCAACCTTTTTTGCTATTTCTGGGCAATCAGTGAGATATATTCCTACTTCTTTCACCTGAATAAAATGGAGAACCAGAATAGTTTCATAAACCAAGATGCAAAACAATAAAAATGAACGCAATGTACTGGAGTTCAATTATGTCATATGCTGTCCACTTTGGAGGGGAAGATAAAATGTTGCAGAATCAAAAACTCTTTCTTTTGCTGTTGGAAAATATGCAAAAAGGACGGTAGCACTTGGTGAAAACAATGCTTATTAATTTGGACCAAAGTAATACCTGAGTAAGAGATTTCCAGTCATTGTTTGCAGACCCAATATAAACATCTCTACTGTCTGAGATCCAAACTTTAGCATGAACTATACCTGATCCCCACCAGTCGCTAAGAAGCAATGTAACATTCTTTACATTTGGCCTCCCTGAAGCTAAGTTGGATGGTTCTTCTGTGTAATCGGGAGAAACTCCAGAATGCTGTAAAAGTCTAAACTATGATTAGTTCCAAGGGAACTGAAGAAATCAGCATATGCACATACAAGCCAAGCAAAGACCTCAAGTTTTCCTTTGGTGGCTGAAGCATGCATAAAAACAAGTTAAAGCATATACATTGGTAAAGAACATAAATATTTCTATTTTAAGGTCAACTTCAACTATTGTAAGCTAGAGTAATCTTGACATTCCTGTAAAGCCAAATAAGAGGTTCCTTAGAAATAATCTACAGTTGACATTTAATTTTTCAGCCTTCCCCTATACAATTTTTGACTTTTTTTATAACCGAGAAATTCCGATGGCCACTCCTCTACCTATCCCTACTTAAACACCCATCTCTGTTTGCAGATTGGTTTGAACTTGTGACGTGTGCCTAACCACACATCGCAAGCTGCATCTTACCACTAGACAGGAGACCCTGGGTGTTCTAGTTCTAAGATGCAACTTGTGATGAGTAAAGGGGTAAAAGAGATGCTCTTGCAATCCATTTTTTGCTAGAATATACATGTCTTTCATCTCTTTCCCTAGTTGACTTGTAAAGGAAAACATAAAAAGAGACCAGCCAATTACTCTGATTGACAGACTTAGAACTTTATTCATTCATGAAGACATACAAGTTGATCCAGGTAACCTATGTCCAAGCCCAAAATGAAAAAACTTAGACATCTGATAACCATTCATGAAATCTTTACGATCCAGCACTTACAGCAAGTTGTAACTCAGGGTAAGATAGTAGATACAAAAGTCTTGAGTTTATATTGGTGTTTTCCAACCAAAGACCTAATCTTCACTCAACATGAAAGTTACTCATCATTCTAAATAGCATTGCATATGAGCATATCAGTTTAACCAAAGTTTAATAATGGATTGGGAATACTTTTGCCATCTTTTTAAAAATGACTCTTTCGTCATCTTTTTGGTTCTTTTCCTCATTTTATTTTGCATCTCTTTTTTCATAGAGCCAGATTTGGCGCAAGAAAAAGCAGATTATGTTTATGAAAGTAATAATAATAATAACAATAAAGCAGATATTTGATAACAGATCACCTTAAGCTGTATTACCTAATTGGAAGTTTGCGATTCGCAGCATTTTCTAATGCTTTATAGACTTTCAACCCTTCGTTCGCACCAAATCTGAGTAAATCCTCTTTTGAATATCCATAATCTCCTGAACGAGGATCAGCGGGATGTGGTACTAATTGCCAATATTGTGCAATTATGTCCAAACTCTTTGAAGAGTTTCCAGCCAGCCACTGAAGAACATCCGCTGAAATAATCATCAACCCAATTAACAAGCATATATCTGACATTATGAGCTATAATTTGAGTCGATGAAAATTCTCTCAGTATACAAATTAAGATCAAACTTTCCAGCAACAGAGACATTGGTAGCAAAACTTCATAGAAAAATGAAGATATTTGGGTGAAGTGAAGTTACCTGTGGAAAGGACTCCGTGAACAGTAGCAAGTTCAGGCATATCCGTGGGAATGGATTGAACCAACCAAGCTTTGCATTTGGAAGCGGCATCAGCTGTGAAAAAAAGGAAGAAAATAGTGATTATGCAAATAGTGGCTCTCATCTTCTTGCCCTTTTCCATCTCTACCTTAATATTTCTCTCAATTTTCAAATTTGCTCGAATCCTCTTTTGTTCGTGGTAAGTTACAATTTTTTCAAACTTGGTTTGTTCAAATAGTTTCAAAAGTAGCTTTTATTGGGAACAATGTTAAGATTACGATTCTGCTCCCGTATTAAATATTAAATAATAAATTATTGTATATTAGTACATGAGTCTTATCGTTATAAAGACTCTTGAATATATATATTAATCTTTTTATTAGTTTCATGTGACTCTTTACGAAAAGAAAAAGAATCATACAAATCTATATATGTATATATTTTTTTAATATATATATTAGTATCTGTTTTAGTGCGAAGTACATTATATAAATTTTATTAATACTAACTCTAGTTTATGTAAATATATGTAATTTTCACTAATTATATTCATAATGTTTTTTATCCTCTCTTTTCGTCTTTATTCATGATCTCAAATATATTAATGTTATATTCATGACAATTCTTTGATTTCCTCAATTATATCCTATAAATAAATGACATTAATTTTTTTTTTAAAAGGTGAAAATTTCAATGTTCTCTGCTATCGTCTCTTTTGATTTGTTTTGTTTGTTGTTTATTGTTTATTGCTTATATTTTTATTTGTTGTTGTTATTGTACAGCTTTTCTTTTTTGGTTATTATTATTGAGATTTTACCATGATTTGTTATTTTGTATACATTAGCCTACAGTGCTATTTTACTATTCTCATTTGAATTTTCTATTTTTATAATGGTTAGTTTTACTTTATGCGTTTTTAGTTAATTTTATAATTTAAGGTATATTCTTTTTATTAGAAAGATATATTTACGTATAAAAATAATAAAATATATCTTTTGTAATACAAAATTTATCAGAAATATTTTGAGATAAACGTACAATGTATATTTTCAAAACTAATTCTAACAAAAGTAGGAAAAATAAGTATATTTGATTTGTATCTTGTCATCTTTAAACACATTTCACTTCACTCCATCCCCAATATATAATCCTCATCCTCCCCTCCTACAGTAATATTTACAAATACTTTTTTTTTTTTTTTTGCTTACTTATCCAATATAGGAAAATAAATTCAAAAAGCTTAGTCCCTATAAAATATTTTTTGTGAAAAATATTTTTCATTCATATTGAACAAACCCTTTAATCATATTTTCTTTTTAATTTTTCTTTAAAATATTTTGAATCATTAACTAGTTTGAATATAGAGTCGATTTTTTAAATAAACAATTTAAAAATTTTATTTACACTAAAATAGCAGTATTGTTTTTCAAAAACAGAATTTAAAATGAAAAAAGGATTTCCAACTCAGCCACGATAATCACTATTTCCATAAATTACTCCAAAAATTTTATACCTTCCCTTATTTATTCAAATTTCATATATATTATCTTTTATAAGCTGTTTCCTATCAAAACAAAACCCTAATTCTCTGATAGGGGACCGATCGAGCGACCACCGATAATGAGATTTCATGTAGATTTTTTTTAAAAAAAATTATACCCAACATAGTATAATTATTATTGGGTATACTTGCTAGTGAAAAAACACACCAATTTGACATCTATGATATATGTTCATGTTATAGTTGTTAAATTGGTGTATAAAATAAACAGAGAACACTTCATATGTTGATTAGTTTTATCCTAAAAAAAGAAAATGAAGAAATTTAAATTAGAATGTTTTCTGGAACATATGATGGTATATTTGTTAATACACAGTGACACCAATTATAGCACAGTGACTGTGTTGATGTATTTTATGGTACAACTATATAACCTTATTTGAATAATTATAAATTTACAGGTAATTACATAGATTACCATATTGAAGGAGTAATGTATGATTCAATAACCAAATACAACGGACTAGTTACTGCTATATCTTCACAATTACGATTGGATACAAATATTTATCAATTGAAAATCAAGTATTTTGTAAGTGGTACATCTCCACCATTATGATAAAAAAAACACCAAAGTGAAGAAGAAGATGAAAGGTAAGAGAGAGTTTCTAGAATAACTCATATACCTATTGAAAACAGTACTAATCTTTTTGTATCATAAACATAAAAAATCTTTAATTAAATAAAATAAATAATTCAATTACACCAAAATATAACTCAACATGTAAAAGGAAAAAGAAAAACTTAACGTGTGAAAAGGATTTGTAAATTTCTAGGAACTATAACCAACTTTATTGGTTTCACAAATCTGAATATAAAACGAATCCAAATAATAACTACACAAAATATTAAAAAAATAGATTTTTTTAAATAATAAAAACGTGTGAATGTGGGTGTATTTACTATGAGAGAATAATTGATAATTAAATACCAAAATATAGTCCACTAAATATGGCACAATCTACTAAAAGTCAGAAAGAGAAAATTTTGAAAAAACAAAATTAAATATTTTGTTATGTATGTAATTTAAAAACTTAGTTTGTAATTAAATATAAGTATTTTGATATTTTGTTAATAATAGTTTTAAGTAGCATACTTTTGTAATTTTTCCTCGAATATATATATAATTTTATTTTGGGGTGAGAGACTGGATGTTTACTATACGTCTCTACAAAATCTATGTTTCGATCAATGATTTATTGACCTCTTGACTATTGTTATTATATCCTCTGATTTTGCTTTGTGAAATTTTATTTGTCCTAATTTTATCATAAATAAGTTTTTCTTTTAGAAAAAAAATTTAATATTTTGACTAGTCCTTTTTTTTAATAATTTTTTTTAGGATTTTATAAATATATGTTTGTTCCTTCTAACTTAATTAACATTCACAATGTAGTCCTAAGGTTATGAGAATTTCGGTTATGGGAGAGAATTTCGTATACCTCTTTGAATTCCGAGTGAATTTATTGAGGTTATTTCTCTCTATATTTATATTTTGTAAGTGAATTGCTCATCTCTTTTGTGGACGTAGGTCGATTGATCAAACCACGTTAAATCTTTGTATCTTTTGGTATAGTGATTGCTCATCTCCTTTGTGGACGTAGGTCTATTAATCAAACCACGCTAAATGTTCGTGTCTTTTGATGTGTTTCTTGTTTATCTTCTTACTCATACTTAGCTAACTTCCGCCTGACACCTGATTTTTTGGTTCCTAACATGTTTAAAGTTACGTAGATTATTCATTTAATGGCTGTCACATATGAAAGCTGCAACAAGTCTAGTGACTTGGCGAAGCTGGAATTTCACTAAGGAGTGTCGAAGATAGAAAGAGGCAAAATCGCATAGAAGGTAAACGTAATACATATATACATAAAACAATATTTTTATCTAGCTACACAATGTAATTTGTATTTGACTTCTTGTAAATGCTCTCATTGTATAATCAAGTGAAACGTTGATAGAAATTTCTTTCTTATCATCTTTGATCTTCATCTCTGTTATTCGTATGTGTGAGAATCCATAAATGCATGGTAGATTGGTGAAACTTAATAGGAACATACACTCACAAATGGAACTATTTGTATTTGAACTGGCTGGTTAGCAAATAAGAGTATGAGCCCTGGTGAATATAAATACTCCACCACCTCCAACAGCGCGGCCTAAAAGCATATTCTTATCCAGATAAGAAAGGTAATAGAGGCCCCCCACAGAGTGTCTGCACATGGACCATCATCACATGAATATAATGGACTAGTCAATTGTGATATTTATGGCTACATAAAGTTATACCTCTCTGGACTGGTCACTGGAACTCGAGCTTTGAAACTTCGAATAAACTGCAGTATCTGCGAACCAAGAAAATCATTTTGACAATATTTCTGCAACTCTCAATAAGCCCATAGAATGTTGATAGCAATTCGTGAGGTCATATATTTACTCTATAGTTTAGGGATATGTATTTTTCCTGTCATAAAAGCTTGCTCCATGTACAAGTTGTGTCTTTAATGATATGCATATGACTTAGGAAGAATGAACTTGTTATACTAGATCAAAACTAGGTCTCTGTTATTTTATTGTTTGAACTGTACCTGGACCAACTCTCCATTTGGGAGAGGTGCTCAAGTTGATTCTATGCACCTATTGAGTAAATTTATACAGAAGACTAAAGAATGCACTACATAACCAAGTACCTGTAAACTTAAAAATGACCTTGGCAGAATTGCTGGAGCTATTACAGCTTGCAGATCGTCACTGATGTTAATATTTTGAAGACCTATCTGCAAATAAAAAATTTCATGCATAATTCTAAAGAAAATATTGAAAGTCCAACAATGAGAACATCAATGATCGTTTTTAAGAGGAATGTTCATATCATAATAAGTAGTTTTGGGCCGGCTTCGTGATTTTATGCTTGGTAAATTTTCTTGTGCATCCAATAACGAGAAAATCAATATTCATTATCGGTGATGTCTGCAACCAAACATGACTTCTAATTTTATTTGTTATCAGTAGGTGACTCTGTAACCAAGCTCTTAGAGACGTCAACTACTGAAATTTAAAATCAGAAGAGGCAAAAAGCACAGAAACATGGAAGGCTTCACTATTCATCATCCATGTAGAATTTTCAAAATTTATTTTTTCCAATTAGAAAGCATCAGAAGCTAAGTAAAGTAAAGCATCCCAAAATAATCAATTCAAAACTACAAGAGAGACCCAGCACAAAACAAGACATAAAAATCCAAGAAGATAGGCAATGAATCCGTTAATGTCTATTATCTAGACATGGCCTACTGTATGGAGTTCCAAAACCCTACTTCAGAAGGACATGGACCTGGACTTCTACTCGAGCACCAGAACCAATGACAAGATAGTATATGTTAAGGAGAAGGATGCGGACTCATCCATAAAATGCCAAGAATAATACTAGTATACTTGATTAGTGATCAGAAAATTTACCTCCTCAAACTTGAGGTAAATATTACGAGCAGAAACGGAAGAAAATCTGGCAGTTACTATCAGAGTAGCACCTTCATTCTCCTGTAGGATATAAGCAGATAGCTATCAGATCATTTGAATTAAACATGTCTTCTCTTTTTCCTTCTTAATATGTAATCTTACATTTCATTTCTTTCTATTACTTCCTCTCAACCTCGCGTTTTTCTAGTGTGTATGAAAGTTCATAAGTTGAACAGTTTTACTTATTAACAAAATGATGAAACGACAAACAAGAAGAAGAGAAAATACATGACACCACTTTCAAAGTGGGCCCAAGACATTGTAAGATACCAGGAGAGTAACATAGGCATTAGACTGTGGCATTGGCATGCTTTCTTTAGGAGGAACTTTACAAACTTTGGTATCAACAAGAACTTTGGATGTTTTAAAATGTAATACATTGAAGCTTAAAGCAGGTACAGTTTCAATACTTCAGAAGTGAAAGCAGAACTGAAGGAAACAGAGGGGGCGGAGGGTGGCGTGAAAGGTCATGTTTTACACCAACACTAGTTTTCCACAGAAAGAGAAAGGTTATGCTTTACATCAGTACTAGTTTTCTACCTTTCTGTGGATACAGGTCATTTCTAACTAAATAGACTAGTAATATATGAGAGTAGAGATAAAAGATACTTGGCGGCCAAATGTTATTGGATTCTCAGAACTTAGGGCACCTGCTTTTTTCAATTTACTAAAAGTGTGGACTGCTTGTGGACTAAACAGCCCATTAGAAAGGTTTTATTTTGTATGCTAAATATATCAGATATTGAGGCTCACTTTATCTTGATAACACCACAGCTGCCAAGAGGACATCAAAAGAATAGCCCCAAAATGTTTTAACTCAGATGCCATCTAAGTGTCAGCTAAAATAGTGGTTTAGGAGCTTGAGTGAATTCCCTGTGAAACCAAAGTTCAGTCTAGCAGAGGCAACGCTTGGTGAACTTTTCCCATTTTGCCAAATCCTTGCCAGAAATAACTATTCAACATGTTCTGATAAGAGGTAGCAGATATCTACTGGACTAGTAGATGCACAAACTAATCCAGACGCGTGTATGTGTGTAAAACAAAAATATATTAGAAAGCGAAGTGCTTAAGCAAATTAGTTGCAAAAAGTATAATTTTTGGGTTTCCTTTTTGAAGTGTTTCTTGTTCAAGAATCCATAAAAATGTAACTACTTACCATCTCAATTTTTATTCGGAAGCCTCAAATTACTAAGAAATCAGCATCCATTTAATCGTGGAAGTTTTAGGAATTGGAATAACTGGGACAACTCATTCATGTCGTTTGTGATCTGTTGACTTACTGTGTCCCAAACTTTAGAAACATCAAGGGTTGAGATGCCATTTTTAAGCTGTTGAAACCTTCTTGTGGCTATTGAAGCAGCAAACATCAACTTTGGAATTTCACACTTCTTAGATTCGGCAATTTGGAAGATGCTATATTCTGGCATTCCTTAAGATTGTTGATAATTTCTGACATCTCAAATTTCTCCTCCTTGACACAAATGATTGTCAACTAAGAGCGGAACTTCATGCAAGTCGCTCTGTTATTAACCAAAAGAACAGTTAAGTAGATGATCCTTCTGATACTTTACGTCATACTATTTTTTCAAGTATCTTTCCAATCTTCCAGGCTTCAGTCAGGACCGCATTTCTAATTTCTAGCTGTTTTACCTTCACAGCGTTGAGGCTTAAAACAGTTTGATGTGGTCAGATACTACTAAGAGAATTTCTCAACAGCAAAAGATGCTAGAAGGAGAAGCACAGTGCACAACTCCAAACTCGAGCATAAGGTTTTTGTACAGGTCTAACTATCCTGAAGGACCTGAACAATTACAATAGGATCACCTTCTTTAACCTCCTTAATGGATATCCTGATAGAGTATCATGAAAAGGGAGGGTGTGGGATTAATGAAGAGCTGGATAAATTAGACAGGGGCTGAGAAAATATTGAGTGAACATCAGTTCTAAAAGTTTTCACCTAAAAAGGTGTGTTCAAGTGTCTATATCTGTTAACAATATATGCCAATCAATTATGCCTAAACCTCATAGTAAGTAGGATTACATCTGTTTATAAACCTAGAGTAAAAATAGCTTAAGATAAAGCAATAAAAAAAAGTTTACACCTGCAAGCAAGTAATGGGAGGAAAGGCATTGTTGCACCTCTAATAATCGTGGAACACTCCATTTGATGACATTGCGTACCAATCCTCCACGGGATTCATTCTGGCACTCAAATTTCTGGAAAATTTGACCCACCTATTACATAGCTCAAAAAGATCAGTTCAGCTGAGTATGCATGTAACTAGCAAATGATATGATAGGAGTTGATAAATCTCGCATGAACTGCAGGTTGAGGAAATTGACTCGTCATGGAAAAGAAAATGGAGCATTTTGGTCTATTTGTTTCTTGTTCATTTTGTAATTATATTAGATGGTAGTGGAACAAATTTATGATTAAAGAAAAAAGTAGTAGACATATTAGAGACACATGATTGGAGATAGCCAAGAGGGGTTTAAGGAATAAAGCTGTTTTTCCTTTTCCAAAGCACACAAGATCCGTGCAGTAAAAAGTTATACCAAATTACTGGTTAGGAAGCCTCTATGAACTACGACAATACGAGGTCATTTTACATATTATTTGTTAGTTAAACTACTACTGATTTAGAAGTTGACTATTTATCTAGCATGCACCAAATTGAACCTGAAAGAATGGAAGCCTAGCAGCAGATTCAAAAAGAATGAGCACGTCTGGTGCAGATGTATACTGCAACCGCCATGTTCCGTCCAACTTACTCAAGTCAATTTCCTTGCCAGCATCAAAACCTTCAACCACAACCTGATTATATCTCAATTAGTCAATACACTAGGATAAACTGGAACTTCATTTTAAGCACGAGCAGCAGACCATAGCCTCCTCAATGGTGGATCGTTGATCAGCAGTTGTCACTAGGCCTCGTTGCGTATCTTGGATGATATTAAGCAGTTCATATTTTCGGTTTTCCAATTCGTATTCAGCATCCTAAGAAAAATCCAGATGTAAGAAGTGCTGTGAATAACCCAAGGCAATATCTTAAAAGTGTTTCCATGTTAAAAAATAAAGAAACTAGAACAGTAGATGTTTAACGCAAACAAGTATGTAAAAGAGAACATGGCATATGAAAACAGTGAAATATTAGGACATACTCTTGCAACAGTCATTGAGGCAGATGACATGGATGTAGCCAAACATGTAACTCTTCCATGGTTGTGTACTCTTCTTATGGTGTTTGAAAAGGAGACAACAGGTCTCACGCATACGGCAGAGCCGAAACCTGCTGGAAAGTAAAAGTAATAGCATTTAGATCATTATCACTTATTGTGCTGAATAAACCCGATTTACAGGATTTAAGAGCTTGAGTGTGGGGTTCATCATCTACAACCCAATTCGTTCAAGACAACTCTTTTATGTAATCAATCGTTGTCTATCTTTTTAGTAATGGAGATCGTGCTACTGTTAATCCATTAGTATTAGTATATTCTTCCAAGCATCAGTTTATAGAAAGGAACATTAGCATTGAATTGTTAAATGCTAATCAGTTTATAGTCCCACAAACATAGCTAAATGAATGCAGCCAGCTCAATTTGTTATTCATTTTATATCAATGTATTTGAATTGGGATATAATCCGCATTTCAGTCCAAATAACTTCTTAGGGTGAACCCACTAATTTATTAACTCAACTCATTTTGATGCGCCCAAATTCAGCTCAACTCAACCTATACTTATGACTTACATTTTCCACAGTGAAAATTTGTTAGAGCTACTATTTGCAACAACTTCACCAGAAAATTTCCATACATATACTTGAATCTTCAAATTGGAAGAGAGCAATAAGCAAATTTGTAATAAAATACATGCAACAATTGAAAATAATTTTTATTTTTTACCTGAAATCATTGGGTAGCGATTAAAGTCTCAAATGAGGCATGAAAGCTCAAATTAGAATCAATCTGAGTTTTAAAACACAGAATCAACATCAGAAAAAGTGAGAGCAAAAAAAATCTGACAAATTGAAATACTTACCCTAAAAGCTGAGATTCTCAAAATGCTTAATTTAGCACTAAAACATCTCAAATTGTTTTTAGCAAAAGAAGAGGCTGAAAGTTTTTCTGCACCAAAAGCCCCTGGTTGATGCTGGCCTCATCCAAAATGTGTAATTATACTTATACCCCTCATATATTGTACTACTCTACCTTAGGACTTGTAAAATGTCTTTTTCATTTCAATTTGGATCCTTTCGATCTTTTTTATTGCATTCATACCAAGATGATCCATTCGATTTCGATGTCATCTCAATTTTTCTTTAATGCCAACATGAATCAATGTCTTATTCTATTGTTTGGGGAACAAGCATTATATTGATACCAAAACCATATAGGTGTAGACAACTTCTTAGTTTTTAAAGAAAAAAAACCTACAACTATCTAAACAACAGTTTGATAGCGCTATTCTATCAAAATTAATCTATCATCAAGTATGCCCCTGTCAAAAACGAACAAAAAAAATAAAATACATATACAACTTTCATGCTGTCTTCCCTTTTTGTATGTATGCATCTACTTCTTCATTCGTAATCTTATTTCAATCACAAATTAACAGTAAGTTCATGTTACACAAAGAGTGTTTAAACATTTTCATTAAAAAAAGTTTCAGGTACACAATTCAATTTCAATGTTGGAACAAAAGAATGAAATAATAAGAGTTACAAAATGTCATCTCTCGTTTTCTTTGCCTTCTAAGGACTAATATAATCAATCTTATGATAAGAGCATGCACAATTTTGAGCACCAATATCCTCCCCAACACAAGGAGCCTCTGCTTTTCCATCTCGGTACCATTGTTTTCTTTGTTGAACTAGTTCACTGACGAAATTGTCAAGCATTTCTCGGGTGATGCCTGGCATAACAATAACATGTGCCATATCTTTGACGCATGAAAGTTGCCAACGACGCACAAATTCATGGTCACGAGGCCTTTCAAGTACAACTATGATGCTAAGCTCATTTAACATGACACTTATTCCTGCTTGTTGAAGGCGATTTTTCAAATATTTGGCATTGTCGAGACATCTTTTAACATCCTTTTGAAGTCCAACTTGACCTTTTGCGCTTAAGCTATACCATAAGAAAATTGGAGTCAAACCGTTACGACTACCAGAAATAGTGGCATCGACAGAAGCAATGTATTCCACATTTGTTGAGAGATTATTGATGTAGCTTTTTCTTGTTATTTGGACACCACAAGGCATTGGGCATCCTAAGAACTTGTGACCAGAAATTGTGACACTTCCAATTGGCTTCTTGAAACTAATCATCTGTTGAAATTGCACAAAGAATTATTAGAATATCGCTTTGAGAATTACTTGCGAGTTTGTTAGAAGTAAGAAGCAATTGAAACTCACATTGTTTATAAAAGGGGTCATAAGACCACATAGTGCTGCATCACAATGGATGTAAAACCTATCTTGTGAATAGCCACATTCTTTGAGTGTTTCAAGAATAACATCCAGGTCATCGATTGCTCCTTTGAACGTAGTTCCTATAGTTAAAAGAACCATCAAAGGAAAAGTCATAAGATGGCTAAATTCATAAAAGAGATAAATAAAAAGGATAGAGGTTGGAGTATAGGTATATACCAATTGTGACATTTATAATAGCTGGTTTGTCCTTATTTTGAAGTAACTTTGCTCTTAAATCTGAATAATTCATCTCTCCGTTTACTGATGTGTTGATTGTTTCTGAATCCATTCTGTACATTCTTGCAGCTTTGAAGACTGAGTAATGAGAATCTTTTGATGCATATAATATTCCTTCAGGAAGTAACTCTCTCCTGCAAAATTATATCAAAAAATTTAACAACACCAAAAACATAAATAGATGTTATTATATTATATGAACTTGTGTGTGAATATATGAACTTACCCTAACAAAATACCATGGAGATTGCCTTCGGTGCCACCATTGGTAACATATCCCCAATATTGATCCTTTTCAATTTCCCATAGTTTTGCAAACCAATCCAAAACAGCCACTTCAAAGTCTTTAGAATGGAAATCGACAGTGTTTTGAAGGAAAGGATCACCACAATTGTTTAGGTGAAACTGTAAAAGTGGTGCTAGCGTTGCATAGTGATCATAACATATGTTAACTGGATAACCTAAATGATAATTGACTCGTTGTGTAAGTGTATCTAAATAGTTGACCAATATAGTGTCCAAAGAGGGACCATCATTCTTCAATCCAGGCTCCATCACCTCAAGTTGCAAGTTCTTCCTTGGCCCATCCCCTGGTGGTGCCACCTTTTGTTTTTTGTTGTCCACATTCGGAAACAATCTTCGCCGTGCTAAACTTCTGGGTGTCATCGCTGCTAAACTTCTGGGTGACATGGGCAATGACTCAAAATCCTGTCAAGCATCATAATCCAATTTAAGACAGATATAATTAAGTAAATAAAAACATATATTTTAATTTGTCTAACAAGAGTGGTACAAAATCCAAATATATTTGGGTAGGGGCAACAAAATTTTGCGAACAAATCTTTGTGAATGAACACAGTGTGAGTTGTTTAACAAGTGGAGATGTAACCAACATGAAGATCGAGTACGTACCATTTCAAGCAAGAGGCTACCCATTATATATTTTGAAACACAAATTTATAGTAAGTTGTTTGTTTTTGTTTGCTTAGGCCTTAGAAAAATGGAGAAGCAACTAGTGAGTACATTTTGTTCATATAGTTATATATATATATAGGTCTTAAAAGATGAAGGTTTTGTGCACCAACCACCCCTCTTCTTTCCTCTCTTTTTCCTGTTAGTTTCTCACTTGCAATTTTCAAATGATTACTTTTCCCATGTGTGGTCTTTGACGAGGCTATTCTTAGAAAGTGACTACTCAACTAACGAGCCAATAGTATTATGAATGATGGGTTGGTGAGGTTAATAAAAACACAAATCCAAATAAACTAAGCATGCAAAGATCACTATAGTCACAAATTAAACGCGTGCGTATAAATAATTCATTCTTTATTAAGAATTATAGTAATGGTACTAATAGTGACTATTCATTTCTAACTTCGACCAATAAAATATTACTCTTTCCGTTTCAAAAAGGATGACTTAATTTGACTTGAAAAAAAAGACTTTTTGATCTTATGGTTCTAAATTAAAGTTATGTCAAATGTACCAAAATGTCATTTAATCTTGTGGTCTTAAACATGTCACGAGGAAAGTTAAAGTTAAAGTGTTGCCAAAAAAGGAAAGGAGTTTTTCTTTTTGAAACAGACTAAAAAGAAATAGGAACATTCTTTTTTAAACGGAGGTAGCAATTACAAATCTATCTACCTTGCATATTACAAATGGTTTTACTAATTAAGGCTGGATGAAAGAGCTAATGCATAATATACTATGAATAATGTTCATTTTTGTATATTATACGTATAAATACAACTTTAAATGTGACATGTTATAATAAGTTGTTTACCAAATTTGAAGTGCTACTTTAAGTTTGATTTAAAAATTTAGAATTATTCCAAAAAAATATGAATAATTTTTTCCTAATATTTGGATTTCACTAGGATGCTACTTGGTGGATTCTTTGTCTGAATACAAGCGAAGTGGAATTAAGCTACTTACTCCACCAAATGTCTTCGAGAATTGGTCAGCGAACAAAAATAGTTGGAGCTTTTCAAACGCAAGTTAGCATTTGAATTGGTCTATTTTTGACTCTTTTGACACCAATTACTTTTAAGGAAAAATTACATAAATTAGTACATTTTAATAAATAATTACTGATTTTAGCAATACTTTTTATTTATTACCATTTATAACAATGCTATGTCAAATCTACAATATGAATTAAAAGTGAATTATGTATGCAATATATATGAATTATAATTGTTTTTTAAAATATATTATGTTTGTTTGTTAAAAATTTGACATATTGTATTATAAGTGTATTAAAATGTGCGATAAATGTATTATCCATTATTAAAATTTGTATTATATATGAATAATAAATTGTTATTTGTAATATGTATTAAACTTATATTAAAAATGAATTAAAAGTGATCAAGTGAAAAAAAGATATTATTGCTATAAATGGTAAATATTTTTTTATTTTAGTATATTTATGTAAGTTTCCCTACTTTTAAAGATATTGCTCATATATAAATGAGTTATAACTAATAACATGTTGAATAATGAATCATTCCTACCATTTCAAAAAGAATCATATAGTTTGATTTGAAACGGAGTTTAACAAAAAGAAGTTTTTTTTTAATCTTGTGGTTCTAGATTAAAATTATGTCAAATGTATCAATATATCCTTTAATCTTGTGATCTTAAACATGCCACACAGAAAGTTGAAGTTAAAGTGTTGCTAAAAAACAAGGAAAATAATCATTTTTTTAAAAATAAACTAAAAAGAATACTAGATTATTCTTTTTTAAATAGAAGGAATATTATTTTTTTCTGTTGCAGCTGTGGCATTGTTTACGCAAAATTGGAATTTGAATTTTTATTTGGGTTGCAGTTTTTTTAGGCAAACTCGGGATTTTTCTGCAACAATCTATTGGATTTGCCCTGCAGTTTAACTTTTGGATTTGATCTTTTTTAAAAAAGGAAGTTAGATGTCATGATCCAAAATAGGGAGGGACGATCAACACTCAATACCGTATTCAATCGAGTTAGCCGCTGAAACATATTAGCTAATTAAACTGCGGGTCTGAATCGGACAACACAACATCTGCAATATAAAGTTTGGACCGTTAAAGTTATGACCTAAATAAAAATAAGTCATATAAATATAAATAGTGGTAGACAAGTCTAAAATAAAAAAGCACTAGCTAGCCGACGAGGCCGAAATATATACGCACTCACACACACATTATTATAAGAGGGAACAAAAAAAAGTTAAAAGTTGAATTACAATTTTACCTTTACTGTAAATTAAAATGTTATAAAGCATTTAATTATTTAGTTTAAATGTTAAATTGTCTCATCTTAATAAAAATGTAGATGACTTTTGCATTTCCTTAAATTAATTCTTAATTAAAATATAAGGAAATAATTAAATGTTTGGAATGTGAAAATATATATTTTATTTGTACATGTATATCCTAGAATAATTACTGGCATACAAAAAAAGTGACCCCCCATTTATCCGATTAATGTCACTAATTTTATTTATTTGATTTATTATCACTAAGATATTAAAAGTGTGTTATTATATATGAATGAATTAGTAATAAATTATTGAGATGACTTCTAATTTCCTCAATTTATTACTTATTACAATGACTTGTGTTTTTCATCTTTTTAATTATTCATTCAAACTAGACTAGATTTCAAGTTCAAAGCAATAATTATTAGTGGTAATGTTAATTCTCTTATTAAGTCTAACTATGATTTGTATTTTTCATCTTTCCATCTATTCATATATTAAAGACTATTTTAGAACTGAAAAAATATAGAATTTAAACTGACATTTTTACTACTATTTAAGAACTAGGTGATAACCATTGAAAAATGAAAGATATTGTCATTCAACTAATAATAAAAAAACTATTCCATCTATGATAGGCAAAAAAGACATGAAAAAATAGAATACATGAGGTGGGGAGAAGAACTTGAAGACTTCTTTTTAGACATGCCTAAGTCCTCATATCTCTTTCGATATATATTCTCTATCACAAAGATTAGTGTTGTTTCTAATTTCTTTAGCATTTCTAATAAACTCATTGTGGTGTTGTAATCTTTTAGTTATTATTATGAGCTTTTGAAATAGATGTATATATGAAGTTCAGTGTTTAAATTATATATCTGTCAGTTTTATATTTTAAATATAATTGCTTTTAATCTTGTATAATTTTGATATTACGGTCTTTTAATTTTAGAACCTTAAATACTATAAATATTTCATTCTATCATTTCTCATTAATAAGTGTGCATGTATTTTTAATATCCATTTATGGCTATAAAATGTTATCACTGATATTTAGATCATAAAAAAGAGTTAAACAAAGTTAAAGAAGGCTATATTATATTAATTAATTTCACATACTTTTTGCTTGATGCCAAATGTGCAATCCCTTTTTATTTCTTTTTGTTGATACATGAAATATAATTGGTAAAATTAATATTGTTGATTTAAACATTTTCTATTTGATAGAAAAAATTTATATTATGTAACAATAGTAAAAAATAAACGTGCAACGCACGTTGTCAGAAACTAGTATATATATACATGTCAAGCCTATGGACTAATGATTGAAACCTACAAAAAAAACCTAGAATATTTTGTCCACAATAACCTCTATGAGTAACATAAGCACTTGTAACACCACAAAAGTTTCTAAGGTAAGGTCCGAAATATTATTTTTTGTAGTAAAAATGTTATATCGGGTAATTTTTAAATTGTTCATATCACGCCTCGAGCCTACACCTTGGACGTGGCTGGCACTCGAAGAGTACCATTGTTGGCCCTAAACAAACCCTTGGTCTGGCTTATTTACTTAGAGAAAAACTTAAAACACAAAAATAACCTATATAAGGAACTTGTGAAATGAACTGAGAATGTCTTAAAACAAAGCATTTAACGGGCCAGAATGGCTATTCAAGTCTCATAGCTAAACATCTGCATTACAAAGCTCAAAGACTTATAACTAAGTGTCTACACAACTGACATGGATGTTGGAACAATTCCACAATAACTTAATGAACTAAATCAGAAAGCAATAAAAGAGGGGTCCCTCAGAATGCAAGGAGGCTCACTAACTGACTCACGGAGTGCTGAACCGAATCAATAGTGCGTTGGATGCCGATCCTCGTTATTTGTGTCTGTATCATAACACGATGCAGACAACTGAATCAGTACATTGAATGTACAAGTATGCGAATTGGAATATTAAAACAATATTGGCTAGAAAGAATATGAAAGAAACTGAAGACTTACCTTCCTTAACTCAAATCAACATAACTGACTCATTTCAATATAAAACAATTTAAAAAGCAAGTGTAATATAAAGAAAAGTTATTTAAAAACATATTGTAAACTTTGTATGTATGCAAAGATACAATTTATTCTGAGATGTATGTAAGAATATAAATGAATTGTGTATATAAAAATACAATAACTTATGTGGGAGTTTCTCTAACCGACAACCATCACATAAGAGCTATAGTGATGATACATCAATCTACCTCACGCTGTCAGAGCATCTCTATACCCGGCCAAAGGTATAAGACCTGAACTGTCTAATGGACCTACTAGTCTACTATGAAAAGGATTCATCTAAAAAGTATGACCCTTTTTTACTCAAAGTGGCTACATAGTTTTATGGAGATGTGAGTTATTTAAACTTATGCTCGTCCCTAATTACGTGCTCAATACTACTCCAAGATATACTGGCTCTTATGTTTTTAAAACATACTTCTTCTGTGATTTGTGATTAGTGCTCAAAACTTAGCTCAAAGGCTATGTTGGAAATCTCAGTTTCTATGCCTGCTTCATTTTAGAAAGCTATAACTATTTTCTTAAAACTAGCCCGAATGCTCTTTGGAAATCTCAGTTTTTGTTCTTGTTTAAATGTGATAACATTTGTTTTAAACCTTTTTGGGAATAGATAGTCCCCATATAATTTTTGAAGAAAGAACTTCAACTTTACTCTTTACTGAACTCAACTCTTAAGTCTTAAAAAAAATTAAAACATTGCTAAAGACTCTTGAACTGTTAAGAACTTTGCTTTAACTTGTTTCTTAACTTCTAAACTTGACTCCTAACTTATTTGACTTTAATATTAACTGTTCTTGAATTAGATTATGGTTTCAAGGTCCATGATCTCATGTTAATGAATGATTTCATGATGTTTGAATGTACCTTAGAGTGTTGGAATCAACTAAAAAATATAGGTTCATCACTTTGGAACTATCCTCCCCCCCTCCCGTTTAAAAAAGGATGACCTAGTTTGACTTAGAACGAAGTTTAAGAAAAGAAAGAAGACTTTTTAATCTTATTGTTCTAAATTAAAGTTGTGTCAAATGTACCAAAATAATCTTTAATCTTGTGTCTTATATATGCTATGTGAAAAGTTAAAATTAAAGTGTTGCCAAAAAAAGAAAGAGGTCATTTATTTTGAAACAAACTAAAAAATAAATAGGGTCATTCTTTTTTAAACGGAGGGAGTCATACGAAAAGGTGGGGAAAGAATGGAGAGAACCGGCGTCCCTGGCGCTTTGATAGTCGTGGGTCACCAACCCTCAAATTACAGAGAGCTGGGCGGGAAGTTCTGGTTAGCGCGACGCCCCAAGGCCCTACGGACAGAGACTGGTCTATGGGGTTTTGAGAGTTGCGACACCCCAACCCCCTTACCCAGGTGTTCTTGACTTTCCTCCTTTGTTTTTCATATTTAAACCCTCTAAACTTCCATGGTTATCTCCCCAAACACTTAAAATCATTAGTTTTATCAATATATACTAGATTCAACTCAAAATTATACCTGGACATGAATCAAACAATCAAGAAGCTTCAACAACACAACCATCAAGAACTCAACGAATTTTTCAACAATGTTCTTCAAGAACTCACTTTCTTAGCATTCAAACAACTTAAATTCGCTGAATTGAAACAATATTGGTGTGTGGATGAACTAATCAAACACTATGGAATCTCACATACCTTTTTAGGGATCATCCCTGACGAATTTCACGTGCAAAGCTTGACCGCTCTTGGCGATTTTTGATTTCTCTCCTCTTTTCTCTCTCTAGCGTGAATTTTATTTTTCTAAACTGAACAAAGGTCTGGTTTTACCCCAATTAATTTTTAAAAACGAATTAATTTAATTAGGTAAGGAAAATACAACTTTATCCTTCCCAAATTCGGATAGGGCTTTCCTTAATTCAACAACCCAACTTCTGAAAGACATAACTCACTCGTACGATATCGAAATCTCACAAACTCAGAGGCGCATATCTGAAAATACACCTAAATCATCCTAAGCTAAGAGTTATGGTCGTTTGAAATTGAACAAAAACTCACTTTTTTAACTTACTTAAAATTTTCAAATTTTCTTATTCTTTCAAAAAATAAGTATTTTCAGATTTTAAACTCTTTTCTAGTTCTTTCTATTTGCGAGATGTTACAACTCATATGTGTAAAGATCATATCTTAAGTGTTGGAATGAATTTGAATATGACTTAAGGTCCCAAGAACCCCTAGCACAAAGTTGAGTCAAAAGCTTCCTTACTGATTAAGTTTTGACATAAGATTCTACTTAACCCAACTTCATACGATCACATCTTCCAATACATAATGAATTGTGTGTCCCATGACCTATCATATTGAAGCTCTTTGAGTCTTTCTAACTCTACCAAGTTTACCCTATTTTGAGTTTTGAGAAAAACGTTATGACCGCTTTACTAGAGATTGTCATATAAGTGTTTTCTGAATCTGCGAACTATGGATCCATTCCACAGGTCGTAGATTGAATTACGACCCGTACTGTCAGAAACTTCAGAGAGGCTGAATTTTAATATCCAATACCTACGATCCATTATTCGAGTCGTAAGAACTTCTAGGGGCTGTAGTTTGGATCTGTACTAGAATAGACAATTGAGCCCGAAATTAAATTGTATAAAGTCTACATATTTGATATACGGTTAGTAGAAACTTCTACGGATCGTAGATTGGACCCTTTGAATAAAAGAGTGTTAAAACTTTATAATTTAAAAAAAGTTTCAGGTATACAATTCAATTTCAATGTTGGAACAAAAGAATGAAATAATAAGAGTTACAAAATGTCATCTCTCGTTTTCTTTGCCTTCTAAGGACTAATATAATCAATCTTATGATAAGAGCATGCACAATTTTGAGCACCAATATCCTCCCCAACACAAGGAGCCTCTGCTTTTCCATCTCGGTACCATTGTTTTCTTTGTTGAACTAGTTCACTGACGAAATTGTCAAGCATTTCTCGGGTGATGCCTGGCATAACAATAACATGTGCCATATCTTTGACGCATGAAAGTTGCCAACGACGCACAAATTCATGGTCACGAGGCCTTTCAAGTACAACTATGATGCTAAGCTCATTTAACATGACACTTATTCCTGCTTGTTGAAGGCGATTTTTCAAATATTTGGCATTGTCGAGACATCTTTTAACATCCTTTTGAAGTCCAACTTGACCTTTTGCGCTTAAGCTATACCATAAGAAAATTGGAGTCAAACCGTTACGACTACCAGAAATAGTGGCATCGACAGAAGCAATGTATTCCACATTTGTTGAGAGATTATTGATGTAGCTTTTTCTTGTTATTTGGACACCACAAGGCATTGGGCATCCTAAGAACTTGTGACCAGAAATTGTGACACTTCCAATTGGCTTCTTGAAACTAATCATCTGTTCAAATTGCACAAAGAATTATTAGAATATCGCTTTGAGAATTACTTACGAGTTTGTTAGAAGTAAGAAGCAATTGAAACTCACATTGTTTATAAAAGGGGTCATAAGACCACATAGTGCTGCATCACAATGGATGTAAAACCTATCTTGTGAATAGCCACATTCTTTGAGTGTTTCAAGAATAACATCCAGGTCATCGATTGCTCCTTTGAACGTAGTTCCTATAGTTAAAAGAACCATCAAAGGAAAAGTCATAAGATGGCTAAATTCATAAAAGAGATAAATAAAAAGGATAGAGGTTGGAGTATAGGTATATACCAATTGTGACATTTATAATAGCTGGTTTGTCCTTATTTTGAAGTAACTTTGCTCTTAAATCTGAATAATCCATCTCCCCATTCACTGATGTGTTGATTGTTTCTGAATCCATTCTATACATTCTTGCAGCTTTGAAGACTGAGTAGTGAGAGTCTTTTGATGCATATAATATTCCTTCAGGAAGTAACTCTCTCCTGCAAAATTATACCAAAAAATTTAAGAACACCAAAAACATAAATAGATGTTATTATATTATATGAACTTGTGTGTGAATATATGAACTTACCCTAACAAAATACCATGGAGATTGCCTTCGGTGCCACCATTGGTAACATATCCCCAATATTGATCCTTTTCAATTTCCCATAGTTTTGCAAACCAATCCAAAACAGCCACTTCAAAGTCTTTTGAATGGAAATCGACAGTGTTTTGTAGGAAAGGATCACCACAATTGTTTAGGTGAAACTGCAAAAGTGGTGCTAAAGATGCATAGTGATCATAACATATGTTGACTGGATAACCTAAATGATAATTGACTCGTTGAGTAAGTGTGTCCAAATAATTGACCAAGATAGTGTCCAAAGAAGGACCATTATTGTTCAAAGAAGGTTCCATGACTTCAAGTTGTAAGTTTTTCCTTGGCCCTGCGCCTGATTGTTCCACCTTCTGTTTTTTGTTGTCCACATTTGGAAACAATCTTCGTCGTGCTAAACTTTTGGGTGTCATCGCTGCTAAACTTCTGGGTGTCATAGGTGATGGCTCAAAATCCTGTCAAGAATCATGATAAATATCCAATTTAAGATTAGATATATTCAAGTAAATAAAAACATATTGTATGTATAGAGGAGGTCGTACAAAATCAAGAGACATAATTTCAATAATAAGTAGAGGAGATGTTTGTGCATGTTACAAACATGAAGAGTACGTACCATTTCAAGTGTGAGGCTACCCATTCTTGTGAAATACAAATTTATAGTAAGTTTTTTTTTTTGGTTGCTTAGGCCTTAGAATAATGGAGAAGCTAGCAACTGGTGAGTACATTTTGTTCATATGTTTGTGATACTTATATATAGGCCTTACAAGTTGAAGGTTTTGTGCACCAACCACCCTTTTAATTTCCTCTCAGTTTCTTCAATTGTGTCCCACTTGCTTTTTCTAACTTCCATTAAGTATATATTTATATATTTTTCAAATTAAATGAACTTTTTCCCTGTGCGGTTTTGACCAAGCTATTCTTAGAAAGACTAGTCAACTTACTAGAAAATATTATTATGAATGATGGGTTGGTGAAAGTAAATCCAAATAAAATTAAACATGCAAAGACTATAATCACAAATTAAACGCGTACTTATAAGCAATTCATTCTTTATTAATATAATAACCATTCATGTCTAACTACAACCATTAAAATGTTATTTCTCCATTTGCCTTGCATAATAATGCTATGAATAATGTTCATTTATGGATATACATAACTATGACTTTAAAAGTGAAAAATCGGTTGAATAACAGGTTATAAGTTATTCTCTAAATTTAAAATGCAACTTTAAATTTGATTCAAAAAATTTTATACTCAAACACTAATTTTTAAATGAAATAAAATAAAATAAAAAATAGTCCAAAAAGATAAAATATTTTTTTATGGTCAAATGAGTCCTACTTAATATTTGGATTTCACTAGGATGCTACTTGGTGGATTCTTTGTATACAAGCAAAGTGGAATTTAGCTACTTCACTCCACCAAATGTCAATAATTAGGAACCAAAGACACGAGTCAACCTTTGAATTGGTCTATTTTAACTATCTTCACACCAATTATAATTTATAGATCTAATGGGGCATTAATAACATGTTTGAATAATGAATATTTTTTTATTCCGATTGCAATTGAGCTTTCAGAAATTGATATTTTTTTAAATATATAAATGTTAGACTCGAAATTAATTGTATTTAAAAATTTAATTTTTTTTTTATAATAACTTTATATTTAGTCTGGCCATGTTAGACACTTGATGATAAATGTCAATCCAATAGTCGATTTCAAGATTCCTACTTTAGAAATATCTAAAATTTATTAGTCTAGTTATTTCAAAATTAACGTTAGACCTATATGGCCAAAGTTAAAAACAAAAATCAAAGATTGAAAATAAATTTTAGATATATGAATCTAAACTTATGCTTATTAAAGTCAACCTTCAGACAATTTGAAAGCTTTTTGGTCTGATAGTAGCGGATGTATTAGCAAAATACACGAAGAAAAACGAAATATCCACGTATAATCAATAACTGACCCATGTTTCTGAGGCATCTCCTTCTCTTATATCATATAAGATTAGTTTCACTTTTGTATGAATAAACATTATAATAAAAATGATTATTAGCGGTATTTAATTTTTAATTGTCGCTAAATATGTTTTTTTATCGGTAATTATCACTCTTTGAATATGTTCCTAAAGCCTTTAGCGACATTAGTTCTAATGAGTAAAGAATTTATCACTTATTACTAAATAAAACTTAACTTCAAAAGAAAATGTGTATGGATTTTGTATCTTTTTGAAGTGTGATGTGGTACTCAATTTGCCACTAGACATGGTGGAACCTAATCCTACCTATTATTGGTGAACGTTTGCTAATTCATACAACTGAAATTTTCAAACTTCAATTTTTCTTTAGAAATTACAAGGTCCAAGTATGCTAGAACCAAAACTTAAAAATTGTATAATTGTTTGTCCTATATCTTGAATTCTGTCACCATATTTCTATTTGTTGTGCGAAATTTGAGATAATACGAGAAAATATATAAATGCGAAAAACAAGACAACAGATTTACGTGGTTCACCAATAAATTGGCTACGTCCACGGGAAGAGAGGGAGCAGTTTTATTATGGAGAGGCAAAAACAGAATTACAAAATAGGGTTTGCCATAGCGTCTATATATATATATAGTGCTAAGCTACGCCCTAACAGGCTTGGGCCCAACATACAGAATTGACAGAAAATTAAGGGCCCAATACAACAACATTGTATATCCTTTCTGTTTGTAACGGGTCCGATTCAAGACATTCAACACTATTATGATCAGTATTTACTTTTATCCAACTCTATGAGTTAAGAGTAAAAATTTGGTAAGTTTGTTGTTAATTAATAACATATAGTATTAAATAAATAGTATTAAATAATATTAGTATTTACTGTGTACTAATCCAAGTCCTATTAGGATTAGTACTCCTTAATCCTAGTTCTATTAGGATTAGTACTCCTTCCTATATCTCCTATATATATCTCCCATGTATTCCCTTATTAGGTTAACACTTCAATACAATCAATATTCCTTCATGGTATCAAGAGCCAGAAAACCTAGATCTTCTTTTCTCTAGTTTTTCTTTTCTCTCTTTAGGGCACCGATCGTTCCCTCTCTTCTCTTGGGCGGCGGCAGCCATGACAACCGAGGTGGATCCTCTCGATTCATTTCCTTCTGGCATTAAACTCCTTCTCAGGCATCTTCATGCCCTGATTCCCAAAAAATTATCAGACATAAATTACCCTACATGGAAAATCACCGTTCTTACAGCCCTTGAGGCCAATTACCTTCTCAAATACGTCGATGGAAGCACAGAACCGCCGCCGGCAGTCATCACCGCCACGGACAAATTAGAAAAAACCAATCCGGGCCATGCCGCCTGGAAAGTCGTGGATGGCCAGACCCGATCATGTTTAATTGCGGTCATCTCTCCCACGGTTCAGAAACACGTCCGATCCTACACAACTGCTTCAGCCCTGTGGACGGCTCTCGCAACACGCTATGCATCAATTTCCCACTCTCATATTTTTCAATTGCGTGATCGTCTCCACACAATTACCAAAGGCACGAAAACTATGACGGAGTATTTAGACGAGGTCTCCACCATCATCACAGCCCTCGACACCGTGAATGAAATCATTTCCGAAAAAGATCTCGTCATGTGCGTCGTTCGGGGGCTCCCATCAGCTTACTCCTCCATTAAACAGGCGGTTCGCATCAGTCCAACGCCCGTGACCTGGCTACTCTCTCCTCGTGGCTAAAAAGTGAAGAAATCAACGTGGATCTGGAGAGCAAACTTCTTCTCCGAGAAGCCGCTGTAATGGAGCCGGCCACCGCCCTCACCGCAAGCCAGAACTATCGCGGGGGGCGTGGTGGCAGCCGGCAGGGGGGCCGCGGCGGCTACGGCAGAAACAGCGGAGGTAGCGGGCGTGGCGGTCGGCAGGGCAGTCGTCCGCCGTACGACGGTCAGCAGCACGACAGCAACAACAGCCTGCACTCCTTCGACAGCGGCGGACAGTCATCTTCCAGCGGCGGGCAGGGCACTTACGAGCGGGATCGTCTAACTTATCAAATCTGTCAGAAAACAGAACACACCGCTGTTCGTTGCTGGTTTCGGTATAAGGAGAGCCGAAATAGTGATAACCGTGTCAATTATGCATCTCAAGCCGGCCCTTCCTCTGAATGACTGTTGGATACTGGGGCCAACATGCACGTTACTTCTGATCTATCCAAGCTTAACGCTCCAAATCCATATCATGGCTCCAATGGTATTACTGTTGGCAACGGTGAGTCCCTTAATATTTCTCACACTGGCACGGGTACCATTAAAACCCCCACCGCTATCTTTCACCTAGGTAACCTTACCCACGTCCCTTTTATTAAAATCAATCTCCTTTCAGTTCACCAATTCACAAAAGACAATAATTGCTCACTCTTGTTCACCTCTAATGATTTTCAGATCCTAGACAATACTACCAAGAGGGTGATTTTTTAGGGCCCCTGTGAGCATGGTCTGTATGTTCTTCCTGGCACAAGTTCGTCTGCCCACCCAGTTTCAAAAAGCGTTCCTGTGGCTCCGCTGGCTCTTTCGGCCGATGGCCACAGTCTGTTGTGGCACAGTCGTCTAGGTCACCCGTCTACTCAAATAATAAATTCTTTAATGTCTCAATTAGGTTTTTCTTCCATTCATGTAAACAATTGTGACTCCTGTTCAATTGCCAAAACCTCATAAATTACCTTTTACTTTATCTGAGAAGCGTACAACTGCACCTTTTCAACTTATTCATTCTGACCTATGGGGTCCTACTGCTGTTTCTTCATTTACTGGTTTTCGCTATTATATTTGTTTTGTGGATGATTTTACAAAATACACTTGGTTGTACCCACTAAAACACAAATCACAGGCATACACCACCTTTGTCACTTTTGAAAAAATGGTCAAAACACAATTCAATTCTCATGTTAAACTTTTTCGAAGTGACAATGGAAAGGAATATGTAAATAACATCTTTGGCCAGTTTCTGCAATCCCTGAGAATTATACATCAAACCTCCTGTCCATACACTCCCGAACAAAATGGGGTGGCTAAGCGTAAGCATCGCCATCTCATTGAAACGGTGGTTACTCTAGCCACCGCAAACTACCTCATTAACAAAATGCCCAGTCACACCCTCTCCAACAAATCACCCTATCAACTCCTTTACCAAGAACTTCCCAATTATACCAACCTCCGCGTCTTTGGGTGTCTTGCCTACCCTTGGCTACGCCCTCATATTACTCACAAATTACAACCCCGATCCCGTCCTTGTATTTTTTTGGGCTATCATCCTACCTCCAAGGGTTATCGCTGTCTTGACCCACAAACTCATAAAGTCTACATATCTCGTCATGTCAAATTTGTCGAAAATGAGTTTCCTTACGAGTCTATTTCCTCCTCCACAAATACATCATTCATTGGCGTCCTTCCTCTTTTTCCAACATACTCACAGGGTCCCTCATCACCTTCCCCCACACCTCTATCCACTACCCAACCACCCTTCATCACCCCTTCGACCGTCACCCACAATACACCCGCAACCACCACCCACACTCACAACCAACCCGAACCACCCCATACCCACAACATCTCCAGCCCGATCCGTTTTGGGTCCTTCCCGGCCACCCCTGAATCACCACCGCCCGTGCCACCCGCCAATACCCATCCCATGTTAACCCGTGGCAAAGCCGGT